GTTATACGACCTGTCTTGCAACAGATGATATGGTAAGAAACCGTCACTGCAATCCACGCGGATCGGAAACCAACAGGCTTTAGTTACGAGAAGGATATCAGTGGAAACCTACTACGATCAAAAACTCATATCTCAGTCAGCAGCAGCACTAGAGCTGGTGAGTGATATTGTATTCTGCTGCCCAATTGAACACTGTCATGTAGTCATGTATACATGTTTTTGTCTGAAGCGCGACCAACTATTCTCATATGCTTGTAGTTGTGACGCAACTCAGATGGCAGAAAATAATGGCGATGGTGTGTTTTACATCAATTTAATAACTAGTTGCACTGCAGCCAAACGAGGAACCGGTATGTGCCACAGTATTGAAATGTCACTTTAAAGAAACCAAGTACAAAGATAAAACTTTAAACTTATATAATCTGTTGTGATGTTTCGTTTGCTGGAGATGAAAATAAAAAGTTATCAGTTCAAAATTTAAGTTTTTTATATATTTTTTAATGAAATAATGGTTTTATATTAGGAAATAAGAACAGAATGAGTTTATGATGTGAAACAAACTGACAAAAATACAAAACTGAAAAACAGTATTAAACTATCGTCAACATCTTTGAAGATGAGTAATTTAAAGGATTTTAATTAGATATTTTGTAATCATTTGCCATGGCAACAGATTGTCAATTGTTCCTATAGTAATAGATTATTAAGGAATGTTCCACACCCCTCGCTTATTCAAGTTTTCCATAACATTATGTCACTCATCGAAAAACATTCTTTTGAATGTTACGGTTTAAATGCCGAAAACCAGTCGAAACTTTAGAAATTATCAGGCCTAAAAGATGTGATAAAATCATGTAAACTGCAAATGTTTTTTTATACACTCCTTTTAATCTGTTCATTTCGGATTCCAAATCAGAAACATGCAAAAATAGCATTTCAGATCTATCTGTAGTCTCCCTACAAGTCACCGCCCAAAAGGTCTTTCGTACAATACCAGAAAGATATATTCATTCCTTTAGCTTAAAATAGATCTAAATTATGACAGAATGCATTACTATAACAAAATACTTTACATAATTGATAAATTTACAAAACTAATTTATTCAGCCATCAAGTAACAAAGGCAGAAGGAATATCCAATGAATATGTGTCAGCTTGCCAAGATCGTGGGTACGACAAAAATCAAAGACTAACCTGGTAAAACATGAGGGTTGATATATGTATCATGGTTTCCTTGGCATTAAAGGACGGAATAAAATTGGCTCTATATATGAAAACAATTTTGAGACTATGATTTATTCCTGTAATCAGTTTAATGCTTTTTTATTTATTAAACACAAAACTCTAAGCTAAATTTAGATGCATCTGTTGGAATTGTAAATTCTTGAAGTGACTTCTATATTGCACTTTTTTACGCCCGACATGTCATGTAAAGAATGTCATATCTCAGCCCGTCCTCACATTTGAGGACGTTTACATGACACTTTTGACTTCCCAGGAATTAACATAATTTTAAGACACATAGACAAACTTTATATTTCAGGCTACTTGCCTCTGAACATCGTTCCCCTCTACCAAGTAAGTACAAAGCGTGTAGCCCTCCAGTGGCACAGCGGTATGTCTGCGGACTTACAACGCTAGGATCCGGGTTTCGATACCCGTGGTGGGCAGAGCACAGATAGCCCATTGTGTAGCTTTGTGCTTAATTACAAACAAACAAACAATAAAGCGTGTAACGAGATATTTTCCAATTAATGTGGTTGAGCTAGTATCTTCTGAATAGATAGTTGCCACAAGAACTTCTATTTGGGTAATATATACCTGTATGTGAGAATCACTTACCAGTTAAAGTAGATGTTCAACGTCTTGCTTCGCATGTTGGGAGTTAGCAGGAGATTGACGAAGGTTGCTTGCTCCTTCGATGGTTGTTCTTTATCCTTGAGAAGGAAAGTGAATTTAAACAAAAGAATATTGAATGAACAAAACTCTAAAGCTGTTATTAGATACAAAAAGGTGTTTATATTAAGCAGCTGGTGTTAAATATAAAAAGTCCCTTTACATTACAGGGCTGGTGTCAAATATAAGTTACTATATATATTATTCGGTTGCTATCAGAAATAAAAGCTTTATTTTAAAGTATATGGTTCGTGTTAAAACCCAAACTCTGCTCTACATTATACTACTGAGGGCGAATATAAAATGTTACATTAACGTTACAAAGAAGGTGTGAAATATAAGAGGCTGTTATATTATAAAACTGGTGTTAACTACAAAACACTAGTATTAAAAGTTAAAAACAAAAGCTGTTTTACATTCTCGGACTAGTGCTAAAGAGGAAAAAAGTTTGTTTGTTTGTTTGAAGTTAAGCACAAAGCTACACAATGGGCTATCTCTGCTCTGCTTACCACGGGTATCGAAACCCGATTTCTAGCGTTGTAACTTTGTTTGTTTGAACTTAAACACAAAGCTACATAATGGGATATCTCTGATCTGCCCACCACGGGTATCGAAACCCGGTGTCTAGCGTTGTAAGTCTGCAGACATACCGTTGTGCCATTGGGGGCCGGAAAAAGTTATTTTGATGTTATAAAATTGGTGTTGGAAATAAACAAGTTGTTTTAATTGAAGTTAAACTAAGAGTTGAATTTTGTAAAGCAATGGAAATGTCTTTGACTCAAAAGGAAAATAGTTACGTACAAAGAAAGAATAATTATTTACAAGATTAGTAAAATTTGTTGTTATAAGATGGGGGAATATGGATCATCAAAAAGTACAGAAATAAGTTGAATCAAAATGCAAATATTATTTTTTCAAATCTACAACTAGGGACTCTAAAAATAAGAAACAAACAAGGCTGGAAATAATGTCTACTATATTTTATCAAGCTACAATTCCCTATTTTGACTCCACTAAAATTGATATGTACTATAGAAAAGCTTAAGAGCTTGAGAATTTAGAAATTCCTATCGTAATGAAGGAATTATTTAGAAAAAAATATTTGTAACAAGCACAAAAGCTTTATAATAATATACCAACCAAGGTAAGATTATTTAATGGTAGACACACTAAACCAACATCGAAGAGATAGACAACTACTATTAAAGAAGTTGAAAATCTATTTATAATATACACATGAATTTGAAATAAAATAATCTAATTACTTAAAATAAATTATTAATAGTATTTGGCCCCACAGTGATTAAGGAACAAGTTTGAGGGCTTATAGCATTAAAGATAGGGATTCGATACCTGCGGTGAGCAAAAGCACTAGCTTTCTGCTTAACAACAAACGAGCGAACGAATTATACAGTAACTATTGCTAATGTTTACTTCTATATTCCATATTTATTCATGTGTTTATAATTTATTTATTACAAATAGTATCTATTATAGTTAACTTAATAAACACGATTCACATTCGAGTAAATTTTGTGAATCATAATTCATAACGTATATTGTAAATCAATCAATCAAGTTCCGCGATCTCCATAATTTAATATATCTCTCTGATTCCTCACATAATTATTAAGAGAGACCTATAAATATTTAGGTACCCAGCATTTGTGTATCAGTGTGAGTGTGAGAAAGAAAGTGGATTAATAGTACCTTGATCAGATTTACACCTCAAAGATGGGAAAGAATTAAATTTCCATGATATATAGTTAAATGTCACTTTCCAAATGTTGGGATACTTCCTATATCACTTCCTCTTTATATGAAAATTATATACTAATTAGAGTTTTGTTATTGGTACTAGTACATTTGGAAATGGCTTAGTTCTTAACTTTTTTGCTTCGAGTTTATTCCAAAATGATGTATACTAGTCATGCTATTCATTGTTATTGGTCCGACTGGTATGGATCAGATAGCGTATCAAGTTATAATTTAGCAGTATACCTATTCTTAGGTATTTCATCTAAAATTTGGACTAGATCAGATAAAATACAAGTAATTTTACTTGCAGTAAAAGGTGGATTTAATACTTCCTCATCCATGATTAGAGCTACAGATGTGACTTGCAATATGACGTCTAAACTTTAGCCGACGTCATATATTTATGTATAAGTGTTTTCTGGATTAAAACACACTGTTTTCAGATATGGTATAGAGATGTGCACAAGTAAATACGAGTTGGATGTTGATCTCTTATATATGTGTTGGTAATGATCGCTAACACAAATAGCATAACGATTGTGGATACTGCACAACTACCTTTGTCTGATTTAACAATTTGGTATCTTAATTCAATGAAACTCGATAACATTCTAGCGCATTCGATAGATAAACCTGTTTTCTGCATTGATAAAGGTAGTTTGGTATCTTCATTCTTCTTTATCTTTTTTTCTCGTGTGATTATTTTTACGCTTTTCTTTACCTAATATTGAGGTGTTTTCAACCTGTTCTCCTAACCAACACCCAAATGAAGCCTAACTAAGAACGTAGATGTTTACAAGTTAATTAACGACTTACACTTTGTGTGACTAAAAATCTGATTCACTGTTCACTGAGGGTCGCGGGTTCGAATCCTCGTTACACCAAACATGTTCGCTCTTTCAGCCGTGGTGGCGTTATAATGTGACGGTCAATCCCACTATTCGTTGGTAAAAGATTAGCCCAAGAGTTGGCGGTGGGAGGTGATGGGTAGCTGCCTTCCCTCTAGTCTTACACTGCTAAATTAGGGACAGCTAACGCAGATAGCTCTCGTGTAGCTTTGCGCGAAATTCAAAAACAAACAAACAAACTGTTCACTTGTGGTTGTTTCAATTTCCTTCGCTGTTCGTGTTTCTTTCTGCGGATACTTGTAACTATCAATAAACTTGTAACTTGTAGCTATCAGTAAAACTGAATACCACATTAAGATTCTACGTACTTTCCGTATCTATGTGATTCATAATACATCTTCAGCTGCTTAATCTAAGATCCTCAGTTACAGTTTAGAACTGCTTAACTGATGGAAGCTTGGTATTACTACCTTTTTTATATTGATGGTTTCTTCTAACCTTGTTTTCCCTGTTGATCAGTCTTTTGACGACACCTTCCAGGTTAGAGACTTGCCTGTTATTCAGTTTTAACACCTTCTCTAGCTCTTTCTGTAGTTGTTCTGCTTTATTTTGAGATAATAGCCAACGTGGAGATTCCGGAAGAAACCTATTAGTATAGATCAGAAACATTAATGGCTTTTTATCTAACTAGAACAATTATTTTTGTCAGTGCCACCAATATAAATCACCATCATGTGCATGGTTCACGGTTTAATTTACCAACAAAAACTGTTATTACAAGAACTTATAAAGCAATAAAGGTTCCTTTAAATGGACTTGCATGTTAAACATTTAACTGTTCTTAGCGTAGCTGTATCAAAACATAATACCTAAAAATAAACTTTATATAAACAAGACTCACCAAACTTTAATTACAAACATAAATTAATAAATTATAGGATTCTGGTTATCTTTGATACTTCTATGTCAGACTTGGTTCATATTGGCTAACTTTATTAATGTAAATGTTTTCCTCTTCGATAAGACTTATCTTTCAGGGGAGACACCTCGCGGAAAAACACTACATTATTGTCTTATTTTGTCAAGGTTGATAATGACGTAATAATAAAAATTTCTGATAAAGTTAAGTGAAATACTATTTCGAGATGAAAAATGTTTGACTTTGGCAAGATAAAATATACATATATAAACGCAATGAGAATATGATAATATCAATATATTTTTCATTACAATTAAGTATATATTTTTCGTGTTTCTCCTGAATCCTATTTTTGCAAAGTACCATTTCTTTAAAACGTTTATATTTCTTTTACTTTAATTAGCACTTTATTCACAGATATTAACAATCCTCCTTTTATGTTGAAAACAACAACAACAACAAAATATGATAAATTTTCTGTTTTCAAAAGTCGTTTATATTTTAAGATTAAATCAACTTATAAGTTGCAGAATATCAATAAAGAAGATTGTAACCATAACCAAACCATCACTGATTACTTACTACCATAGACTAAACAACAATACACCAAGAACAGTGATAGTCATTTGTAAATTGGACCAGTCTCTTATCAGCCACGCTAATCCTGGCAAGATGATATAGCCGAGAGCCCAGCCAAATTCGAAGCATATCCCCAGGACATGACGGTAGTCTGCACCGACTGACTCCATAACTGTAGAAAGAATTGGACAAGTTATCCCTGCTAAATATTGCGTGGTTACAAAACGTTAACGTTTAAAACTGAAACAAAAATAATCAAACCTGATATATTTGTTAAAGTGAATGAACATCAGCTGTTCAAAATATTCAGAATTATTATTAAGCTCAATATGTCTTTCGATTTACCACCTATCACTGCGTATTACCGGTTTTGGGGTACTCTCCCTCATCAGTAATCCTGCCGAATAACCCAGATGGATACAATAGTTGAATCAGTTCTATATACTATTTAAATCCTATATAAACATAGGTTTACTGTGGTGAGTAAAAGACAACTTGAAACACCATATATAAGATATATACTCCACCATTATATTATCTTAAGCCTAATCTTGTTATTTAGATTCTCCTCTGTTAAGAAAAAAAAAACAAAAAAAAACGTAACACACTCTCATGAGATATCCAGTTTTATATCCTATACATCCATTATAATCAGTCAGTTCTTCCATTTTATCGCATCATCTAGCCAAAGGCAGGGCGTAACCTTTGCTGACACGCCTGTTTCTTGGCTAGATTCAAATAGCATATTATATATATATATATATTATTTCGATTTGTCCTTGTCCAAAGTTACTGATGAGGGTTAGAGTTTCCGAAACCGGTATCACTTGCTGACAAGTGGTGAATCGAATGATAGTTTGGACTTTGTTTTCATTTCTATCTTATTAAACAGCTGAATAACTAAATAACAAACATTAATGCTACAATATTCTCCAAGTCCTTCAAAATGCTGAACTCGACTGTTGCTTGAAGAACCTTTAGGCGGTTTTTAGAATATCTTAATACAGCCATGACGATTTAAGCAGTTTCTTTCAACTTAAAGAGATTCGTTTTCGATAAGAAGCCGTTAAATTACTCCACACAAATGTTACTTTTTAGTAGGATTTCACTAACTGTCTTCCTGAATAGCAAATTTTTTATTTTCTGATCTACCTAAAGTGAAAGTTATTTTTGAGCGATATGCAGAGGTAGATTTGACAAATTTTCATTCTCAGAACTATTTTGACAAATACGGGTCCTTTCTGTGAGTGCCATAATAACATACGTTTCCATTCTCTAAGGGTCCAGCATGGCCAGGTGGTTAGGGCACTCGACTCGCAATCTGAGGGTCGCGGGTTCAAATCCCCGTCACACCAAACATGTTCGCCCTTTCAGCCGTGGGGACGTTATAATGTGACGGTCAATTCGTTGGTAAAAGAGTAGCCCAAGAGTTGGCGGTGGGTGGTGATGACTAGCTGCCTTCCCTCTAGTCTTACACTGCTAAATTAGGGACGGCTAGCGCAGATAGCCCTCGTGTAGCTTTGCGCGAAATTCAAAACAAACAAACCATTCTCTAAGTCATATGAAGGGATATGATTTTAAAGCTTTCTGATCCATTTAAATACGCAATTTTTAATTCCCTGATTTACCAGAAAAGGTTCATTTCAAAAAATTGTTCTATTTTCTATATCCATTCAGAAGGAACGTATTAGCATATTTGTCATTCTGAGCGACTTGAAAAGAAGCATAACTTGAACGCTACCTCAAGTAATACATACTGGCAAGCTTCTAATGGCTTTTACATTATCAAAGATTCGTTTTCGAGTGAAGTTTTTACCTAAAGAGAAGGATTTCGATAAGATTTTTCCGAAATGTTTCACTAAAGTATGAACAGTTGGTAAGCTACTGTTGACTTTTTTCATCTAAAGAGGCACGTTTAAGTAAGATTTCTCTGAAATGTTTCACTAAAGTGGAATAATTTGGTAAACTTCCATTGGCCTTTTTATCTCTAAAAAGTCAGATTTTCCTGAGCTTGCACTGGACTTTTTCAGCACAGTAAGATAATTGGGTTAGCTTCTATTGGTTTCTTTCATCTAAAGAGGCACATTTCGGTAAGCTTTCATTGACATTTTTTTCCTCTCTCCTAAAAGGCACATTTTAACAATAAAATTAAAGTAGTTGGTGGATTTTCTTTATTTACATGTGATTGTTATTGCTTTATGTGGATGAATTTTAAGATTTAGTAAAGGTAATTTCAGCTTATAGCAAAATCACTGTCATCCAGTATTGGCTTTGTTCAATACACAAATTTCTGTTTTAACTCCGCTGGTTTTCGGCATCCAACATATTAAAAGCCAGAAGAAAAAAACAGATTAATGGTCTATCTTAATTTAAAAGGATTTTGTCCCATAGAAGTTTAGAATTTTAAAATAAAAATAGAAAAGTAAATATTGGGTCCACGCTAGAATTTTACAGTAATATATCCCAAAAGAAAATAAAAGGCACGCCACTAACTGTTGGTTGATATAATGTATTACAAATATTTGAAGATAAGACATATACAAAATTGTCAGAAAATGTTATACTAGAAGGTGATGTATTCAACAACGTTTAGAGCTTAACCCCTTTGTCACGTTTAAGATTAACATCTTTCTACTGTTACCTTTTTTTTCCTAAATTGTCATAACTATTTAGTTTTCCGAAATATGTTACTTAACAAGTTTCTATGTGTTGCCCTGCTATGGGTATCTGTCAATACATTATGAAGTTGCTATGTGTTGCCTTGCCATCAGTTCTCTGTCAATACATTATTAAGTTGCAACGTGTTCCATTGTTATTGGTTCTCTTTCCTTACATTACCAAGTTACTTTATAATCCTCTGCTTTGGACTCTCTGTCAATACATTATTAAGTTGCAACGTGTTCCATTGTTATTGATTCTCTGTCATTACTTTACCAAGTTGTTATGTGTTGCCATGGTATGGGTTATGTGTCATTTCATTATCAAATTGCTTTTGGTTTTCTACAAACACGTACTATGTGCATTCTGTTCTATAACAATACATTATTGTTCATGTATTATTCTTTGTGAATACAAATCTTCTGTCAGTGCATCAACAACTTTCTGTTGTTCTTTTTTCAGTAGTTTACGACTTCGTTTGTAGTATATTCTTAACAGTCACCACTTAGCTGTTTGTTTAATGTAATTAAGTTGCCACGTCGCAACGGTACATGAAACGATATGTCGAATAGCATAAAATGTAGGTTTAGGCATCAGGTATTAAAAAAACAAACTATTAGAGCATTTAGAAAACTTACGTAATACGAATGAAGTAGCCGTTGCTCCTGACATTCCAAAATTGAGAATAAATCTAAGGATCAGAAACATAACAAATGTCGTAGAGAAAGTGCATGCTATACCAGACGGCAAAAAAAAAGAGAGTGATACACGTCAGTGTGATGGGTCTACGACTATACCTGAAAATACATTTCATATTAATAAGCACTAATGACACAATTTTTTATAAGCAAATCATATAATTATATTTGTGATTACTTATTGCAGAAACTCTTGAAATGAATCATATTTGTCATAAAACAATATTATTATACTTACTCTATTTACTACACTACATTCTTTATTCGATCCCTTAGTTATTTTTCGAGAAGAAGAGTGCATAATAGTATCTGGACTACTTTGTTTCCGCCAAATCTACTGTCAACGGCGTGTTTCGCGCAATGCCAGATATAATATCAAATATTACAAAACTAATGATTCAATAATTGTGAAAAATAAAATAATTATCTTTTATATTACTTATTGCATATTGTAGGAACTCTTAAGTTGGCTCAGCTCATTAATTAAGCATAATATCACAGCCGCTTACAGCAACCATTTACAATATAATATTAGTATCACTACTTGAAATACTGGACTTACGTTGTTATCTCTGATTTTAATTCAAAATAGAATAACAGCAACTTGTACAGTAGGGAAGTTATTTTACTAATTACAACGTTCCTACCAGTAGTATCGGGTCATCCTGAAGTAAAAGTTACATTGAAAAAAAATACAAATGAATTCGAAAGAACGTTACAGACTCGTGATGTTGAGGACAAGTTTATAGGTGGCGTTAAAATAGCTTTTTTTGTTGTTGTTGTCTAGTTCTT